TATATATATATATATATATATATATATATATATATACACACACACACACACACACACACACACACACATACATACATATATTTCAATACAGTACAAGTATACAAAAGAAAAGAGAGAGAGAGAAAGAGAGAAAGAGAGAAAGAGAGAAAGAAAGAGAGAGAGAAAGAAAGAAAGAAAGAAAGAAAGAAAGAAAGAAAGAAAGAAAGAAAGAAAGAAAAGGAATGAAAACAGAAGAAAACATATAGTTATTCCTCCTGCCCTTCTTTCTATCAAGTAATTATCATGTTTTCCCCATCCTCTTTGGCCCTTTTTAATCCCAAAATCCAGAAATCATCAATTCAGTCTTTTCTTCTTTCGACAAAAAGTCCATATAAAGTTTCAGTCTTTCAAAAAAGTCTTTGTCATTTTTTCCTTGATGAGACTTTTTTGCCATTTCTGCAAGTTCAGTTAATTTTATAATCCAGTCTTCCACCGTAGGTATTTCATTACTTTTCCATCGTTTTGCATACAGTAATCTTGCTGCAGTTACCATATTCCAGATTCTGTCTTCAAAGATACTTTGGAGCAAGGTGGGGTGTGAACATAGCACCTGCCTGCAGCCCCTTACAACAGCCACATACTTTCACTGTTGTCACACAAACCCAGAGAACAATGCCAACAGTGCTATTTTTGCACCCCTGCATGCTCCAAAGTAGTGTCTGGGGATCAAATCTGAAGTGCTGAACAACTGCATTGATTTGTGCTCATATGCTGAACTCTTTACAGTATGTTAGAAATAAAGGAAGAAGTCAAAGTAGAATACATCCAACTTTGGGCTTCTAGCTCATTCTTCCAAAAAGATCGATGTACGTATATATATTCCATGTAGTTCTGAAGTATTTTTTCTTGAAGGTTATTCCCAGCCTTGAAAATATTATTTATTTTAATTGTTATCAGTGCAACTAATTTATTTATTTAAAATAATGTCTTTATTTTTTTTTTTACAGTAATATAGGAATGAATAGATTCTATTTTCATCTTGCAATTCCTTGATTCTTGTGTTTCTTCCCAGGCCCTATGGGACCCCCCAATGGCTTGCCAGGTGCTCCTGGAAGAGATGGGCTTCCAGGACCAAGAGGGCTGCAAGGTGAACCAGGAGAGAAAGGAGACCATGGACCACCTGGGCCAGAAGGTAACAAGAGAATAATTGCTTTCAGCGTAATTTCAAGGCCAGAAAATTAACTGCTTCTTTTCCTTAATATTATGTCACCAATACCATAATACCAGGGAGTGTATCATTAAACCTGTACTTTAATACTATGGCTTTGAATAATTGAAAAAAATATTTTATTTTTTATTTATCAAATTTGTCACCACCCATCTCATGAAACGACTCTGGGTGGTTTACAAGAAGATAAAAATTCATTAAAATACAACATAAAAACAATCCTAAAAATAAATATATTCCAAGAAGATGGAAAATTCGCAAGTAATTCCAGGGACCATCATCAGGGGGCTAACTCCCCCCTCTGAGGGACGGGTAGAGCCCATATCACCCCATACACACTGACAAAAATGATTCAGAATAAGTGCTTTGGACCTCTTGTGGGTACAGCACCTCTTTGATGCTCATTAAAGCAGCCCAACTTTTTAAAGGCTTCAGCACAAGCCTGGGAAAGGAAAAAAAAGGATGCAGTTGCTTTAAGGAGATCACTGGTTAAAGTTGATCTAATGGACATAGTTGTGACATCTTTTTTTCAGGCTCATGCAGAGGTAAAAGCGTTCTGAATAAGGATATCCATGGAAGGTGCAAAAAAGTTAAGATGGTGGCTACAAGTGTGTGATCCAAGTCTTTTCCTTTTAATGCAATAGGCTGGTCTTTGATTGCACAGTTGTAGTTGCCAGTTTGACTCCTTTGCACCCTCCTGTAGACACTGTTTGCTGAATCATTTTCAAAACTGAACAGTTCTAGTTCCTACAGCACTTTGAGCCACCAAAAATGGGACCATTGTTTTGCTTGCTTTTAATCTGAAATAAATAAAGAAAAGTGATCGTGACTGGCTTAAACAGGTTCAAAAGCCCATTAAATCACAGAGGAATCCAACTGGAAATCCTATGCAACTGAAATTGGATGCCTGTTTACCTAACAGTGGGTAACCTCAACTGTATCTACAGGTATTGCTGCTACCTTAAAACCAGATGATAAAAAGGAGATTGTGTCCTGCCTATGATGCCCTGGAAGTAAATCTAATTCTCAAAGTTATTTTTCAGTAGTCATTGAGAAATGCAGGACCAAAGACACACTCAAGTCAGGCATGGACAGAACTGCAGATAGGGTAGATTCTGTCTGGCAGATATGCTTCCTATGCTGGCCAACTGAAACAAAGAGGTTTTGTTTTTGTTTTGATAGAAGAGAATCTCTGTAGCTCAGGATTGAATTGTGGAGTCTTTGGTGTTCTCTGAGCTTCATTGTTTGCCTGAAGATGTTTCATTACCCAACTAGATAACATCATCAGTGCTAGTGAGTGTGGGGTTTGCTCCTGGTTTATATGCAGCAGTTTGCCCTGCTAGTGTGGGTGGGAGTATGGTTTTCTCCTTGGTAGTTCTTTGATTGATTAATTGATTGATTGATAGATAGATAAGAAACAACCAGGGAGAAAACCACACCCCACCAACACTGGCAGGACAAGCTACTGTATATGAACTGGGAGCAAACCCCACTCCCTTCTAGCACTGAAGATGTTACCTAGTTGGGTAACGAAACGTCTGCAAGTAAATAACCAAGCTCAGAGACCCCCAAGGACTCCATGGTTTTTTCCCCCAAAACTTTTCATTCTGTCTGTTGAAAAAAAACTAGTTCCATAAAGAAAAACATTAAGCACTGGGAAACACCTTGTGTGAATCTAAGTCTATATAATAATAATAGTCCAATACTGCTGACTTTACATGCACATCTGTGTAGTTTTCTCAGCAACAATTTGCCACTGCCTTCTTTGAATATGTTGTTTTTAGTTTTGTTTTACTTCCCAGGAAAACATTAGGTGCCTCCTATCCAGTATTAACCAGGTCTGACCCAGCTCCCCAGCTCAGATAAGTTTCCTCCTGTGCTGCTAAAGCAGGCAACAGGGAAATTCAGTATTCTCCAGGGACAGAGCTGTTCAGAGCAAGGCAATGGATTTGCTCTGCTCAGTGAAGCAAAATGGTTTGCTTTTCTATTTATTTCTAGGCCGTGCTGCTTTTCTTGATCCAGAAGTGCAGGCAGAGCTCAGAGGTCTGGAGCAAAAGATCCGGAGACTTGAAGGAGGTACGCTGCTTGCTCTTCCTATTCCTAAAAATATGGGGACCAAATAACGTCTGTAAAATAAACATCTTCTCCCTGGAGTAGCTTTCATGAGAGCCCCCCCCCCAAATTTTTTTTTTTTAAAGTGATGGTGAGGGAAGTTTCATTTCCCAAAAAAACTTGCATTTATTTGCTCTCTCTGTTGCTTCTTGTGAAGGAAGCTTTGCACTTACATTTTCAAGTGTGAAAGGAAGAGATGTATTCATTTCCAAATAGTGAAATCAGAGAAGTATCCATTTTCCAAATCAAATTAAATGATTAACATAACGCTGAAGCATAGTTTTAAGCTTAGAAATTTTGAATAGGTGTTTGGAGGTTGAGTGCCCTGGGAAGCTTTTTATGATTGGACTGTCATGTTTTGTTCTGTTTTTGTTTATGTTTTTTGCTTGTTCTGTTTTTATAACTTGTTTGTTTTAATCTATGTTGGTTTTAGTGATTTTGATTTTGATTGTTCTGTGGTAAACCTCCAGAAATTGTCTTAGCTGAGCAGTATAAAACTATCCTGTAATTGATAAATGCATGCATAAATCTATCTTTCAACAATTTTTGATGAAAAATACATTTAGATAAGTATGGGGAGGGGGGGTGGAATAAGGATGCCATGCAAAATGCTTGGAGGTTTTAATGTTCCAGTGCTTTTCCAACCTTACTGGAAGTATTCCAGCAGTGTTAGTCCTACTTCAGGTGGTTAGTTTTGAGATTCAAACACTTCCTGTATGGGTGGAATAAGTATTTTGAGGGGTAGAACATTTTGCCCTCAGAAACATTTGACCTCAAAACATTTAAATGTGAATTTTCATTTAGAGAGATATTTTTAGATTTAAGTGGAAATTGGACAGATTTATAAGGGAACTTCTGAGAAAGTAACATGGATCAGAACTGGATTAATTCAAATTTATTTAGTTTATACATGCATATTCATGATGTGACAGCTGCAAAAACAAATGATGACTTGCATTTAGGAACTGCCTGATAGCAGGACAAGATAATTGTTGTTTTTCTTCTTCTTCTTTTTTTCTTTTTCTTTTGTAGTTCTGGCTTTGAGGGGAATGTTAAATAAGGTGGAACACAAAATATTTGCTACCAATGGAAAGACAGTTCGTTTTGAAGCAATACTCGAAACATGTCAACTTTTGGGGGGTTCCGTTGCAAAACCCATGGATGAAAAGGAGAATGATGCTGTTCTGAAAATTGTGAAAGAGAATAATCAATATACCTACTTGGGAATTAAGGAGAGTTCAGTTCCAGGAGTATTTGAATATTTAAATGGCGCTCCTGTGAATTATACCAACTGGCGTCAATATGAACCAAATGGAAAAGGGGCAGAAAATTGTGTTGAGATGCAAACTGATGGAAGCTGGAATGACAAAAGATGCAATCAGTATCGTCTCATTATCTGTGAATTTTAAAACCTTTTGTCCTTTAACATTTAAACCAATGGAATTGCCAGGGCTTCTGGGAACGGTAGCTCTCTGACTGCACCCAAGATATTTTGTTGGAAAGTCTTCATCAGTCTCAATCTACTACAATTCCCAATGTTCTGAATGGCAACATGAGAGTCAAACTGGTAACAAATGTGAGGACCAGGGTTTTGATGCTGATGTGGGTGGGAAGAATCAAGCATTCCCAATTTCTGGATACTTAAAAGGAATTAAAATATTGATTTACAGATGATTAGGGTTTGATTGTTCTTCTGAGTTAGAAATGATTTATCTCAAACATGCTTAAGTCCAACTAAACAACAGAACAGTTTTGTACAAATGCAAATTCAGATATTCTGAAAATAATATGACCCTTTCTGATTTTCTGGTGTCTTTCTGATTATTCTGGTGTCTTTCAAAAACTAATGTAACTCTGGACATGAATGTCATAATTATCTATCTATCTATCTATCTATCTATCTATCTATCTATCTATCTATCTATCATCTAAATATCTATCTTAAAAAAAAATTACTGAGGCCATTGAAGAAGTTGGCCAAGAGGAAAGGATTCAGAGGATATTACTCTGATCAATTTTACAGTGGGTGATATTAGACAGAACAAGCTGTTTTATCGTTTCAAAAAGCTGGATAATTGGCTACAATAAAAACATTCCAAAGGCTTCTGGTTGCTTCTGATTTTCTCTCAGTCTCCTCCCTCTAGCTGTTCAGCTTCCTTGCTCAGAGTGGTGGGTGCCTCATCCCAGATGGACATTGTTATTTTTCCATTAGTCAATTAATGAATAGTCCTTTGGGAGGCATATAGAATTAGCTTCTTCATTTGCAATTAGGTTTGTTCTGAAGACTCTCAGGACCAAATATTAATAGAGTGGATGTGACTCTAATGAAAGAGGGGAGGGAACTGTACAAATAAGGACAACAATAACCTGTGCTCATATAGCCCTTCTGGATGTTTCTTTCATGTCCATTCTCTCAGTGGTTCTTATGGCACACTGTATTTCAGTTAAATGTGTTCTAATAATTTCAGCACTCTGAGTGGAGAGCAGCTGACCTTGGTTGCCTTCAAAAATATGAGCTGGTTTGATCCAAATTAAAACCTGAGTGGGAAATCACCAGGGAATTTCAAGTCTATAGACTACATTGGGAAGTTAAAAAGAGAGAAGGAGAAAGAGAGAGTTTGGGGTAGTAGTTAAGATGCTGGAGTAGAACCCAGGGTTCTGTGAGTTCTAGTTCTCCCTTAGCCATGAAGTCAGCTGGATGACTTTGGGCCAGTCACTCTCTCTCAACCCAACTCACTTCAAGGGTGGTGGTAGGAGTCGGGAGCATAAGGTATGCCACCTTGAGTTGTATATAATAACGGTGGGATATACAGTACATCTAATAATAGTAATCGTGTAAAACAAAACCCAAAACACTCTGGAAAACCAGTTCAGTATTGCTGGCCAGAAAACTACATGGATCTGACCAGGAGTTGAGTTCAACTTGAGTTCAATCGCCAGGAGCTGAGTCACCATCAATCACCAGGAGCTGAGTTCAGCTTGAAGGAGATTTTATTTTCCCATGGTGAAGTTATTATATAGCTTCATTTCTATGGCAAATAAAATGGTTGAGAAGCCTTTTTGAGATGTGAAAATACTTCACCATGCAGTGCTATGGATCATAACCAGCCAAAGCAGGAGTATTTGGGTGGTAATATGCAGTTATGCTTTCCATAAACACTTTTCACAGCATCGCATTGCTCTCAGAAACACAGGCAGCTGTTTGGCAGCTAAAATACAGAACGGGGGTTTGATATTTTCATGTTAAATATTCTGAAATTCTGACAACACTTTGAAAGGAATGCATTCAGTGCAGTTTCGTTATTATCAGTCTTATCTCTGAATGGTACCAAAACACATTGAAACAGCAAGAAGTACTTTTCAAACCTGGGCCAAGAATTACTGAAAATGAGTCCCATTAAAAA